CCAAACCTCCCTCTCCCCTTGGGTGATATATCCTTCCCAGTGAACCAGATGGAGCTTCTTGTTGTCTGCAGGAACCCTTAATTGATAGGCGATTGTAGACGTTCTGGTGGAGCGTCAAGGCAAGAGAGTAGCTGACTACTTGGACTGCGAGACAGGATGGAAGTTAACTGATTTGGCGGCTTACCTCCCACCAGAAAATTTAAACAAGTTGCGCTCCTTCCTGTTGGGTCCGCTGTCAACGAAAGAGGACATACTATTTTGAAAACCTACAACTTCTGGTTTATTCAGTACTGCTTCTGCATATAAGCTAGCAGTGCCTCAGGTCACCAACATGAGCTCAATCCTCTAGCGCAAGATCTGGAAGCTTAAGGTGTCTGAGAGAGTTTGCTTATTCATTGCACAGCTTCGAAGGGAAGATTGACAACCAACAACATTAGAAAGTACATATATCTCACAACCAATGACAAGCGTTCCTTATGCGAGTTAGAGATCGAAACAAATATTCATTGTTTGCGAGACTGCCACAAGATTAAGCAAATTTGGGAGAAAGTGGTTCCTCAACAACGTCAGCATCAATTCTTCACTGCAGATAAGAACTATTGGCTAGCCCAAAACCTGGAAAGAGATGACGAAATAGAGGAAGCAGGGGAGTGGAATATCTTCTTCTCCCTCATCTGCTGGTACAGTTGGAAGCACCGGAATGATTTCATCTTTAAAGCAATAAGAATGTCGAGACTCACCTTGATCAATTACATCGTTTCCAAAGCAAAGGATTGGGTAAAGACTTGGAGATCAGTTGTTGATAGAGTCAACTCCTTGCCAAAACCCGTGAGGGAAGAAAAGCTCATAGGCTGGAAACCGCCACCTGCTGGATGGTGTAAGCTCAATAGCGATGGGGCGATGTAGGGCAACCCAAGTCTTATGGCGCCAGGAGGTTGTATCAGAGATAAGGATGGAGAATGGCTTGGAGGTTTTTGCTGCAACATAGGCACTGGATCAGCTATCCACGCAGAAGTTTGGGGCATTCATAAAAGTTTTGGAACTAGCTTGGGAAATGGACATTCGTTGCTTGATTGTTGAGACGGACTCCAAACTAGCAATTTAGTTGATTGACAATAGAACAGATTCGGTTCATCATCACGCCACCCTTTTGACTATGATTCGTAGATAGATAGCTCAGATTTGGGTAGTTTGTTTGGTTCATACGCTATCGTGAAGTGAATAGAGTCGTGGACTGACTCTCGAAATACAGTGTAGTCTATCCCTTTGGTACGCATGAATTAAACGAACTACCAACGGATCTTGAAAGAGTTCTGCGTGAAAACATCATTGGGATAAGCTTCCCAAGACAAGTCATTATTGATCCAAGTTGATAGATTTCTGGATGTCTGCTCTGTTTGTCTTGTTTTGCTTTTCAGTAGCAGGGACACGCTGACCTCTCTTTCTGGTGTTTGGCGGCCCTAGGTGGTCCTTTGCTATGTATCTTTAGCTTTTTTTTATCATAGTCAGATGAAATAGTAGACAGATATGTTTACAATGGGTAAAAATAACGGCAGTCAATACTAATCGATCTGCCGATGAAAGAGCCCTTTATGCCACAAAATGGGCAGCTCTGTTAGTTCCTAAGAACAGAGTGACAAAAACACGAAACCTTAAAAAAGGATATAAGTTTCCGCCACTACACCACTGCGCCTTAAAGCTCTTCGTGCCGCCACCTAGGATCGGATTCTGCTACTCGTGCTAAAAGCTAGGGCCTGCAACACCAACCTGAAGTGCAAGCTACCTGCAAAACAATGAACACAAAAATAATCCCGGCCCAATAGGCCCAAGTGCCACGAGTGACACCTCATCAGCAGCTGGAAAAGCAAAAAGGAAGCCAGCTCCTCTAAATGAGGGATAAGCACAACTACGCTCATCTCTAGGAGTTGCCCCAGCGGATAAGCATAAGGAAAGCAACCCTTGTTTTTCTTCAGAATGAATATAGCCACGCGCCCTCATCCAATTTCTCCTTAGCCCACCCCTCTTTAATCTGCTCCACCTGCCCCCAATAGGTGAAGGCCAAAGATTGGCTAACAGTAGCGGCGGAAATTGGAAGCGGAAGAAACCGATGGGGCCAGCGGCGTCCGGTGACGGAATCCAGGGATGGAGAAGTTGAAGCTAAAATCTACAAACCCTGTGGCTGTGGCACAAACAAGGAATCGGGAAAATAAAGCATCCAAAATTAGAAGTTCCCTCCCTTATCTTTGGCTCTTTGCCGCCAGTAACTCGAAAACGACCAGGATCAATGAACCAGGGAACTAAGACCGTTGCCGGAGAGGGTTGATACTTGAGCGAAACAGCATTAGAAGAGATAAATCGCTAAAAAGAATGACAAAGAAGGTTAGTGGGAAAAATAATCCAATCATAGATCAAACAAATTAATAAGCTGAATTAAAAACATAAAGATGAAGAACGGCGGCGAATCCGAGGGGTGGCGGGGAAGGTAGAACTGCAGAGAACCAAGAACCTAGAGCGGACCCCAGGACGGTTTTGATTGAAATTCATTATCTTTCACCGCCGAACTAGAATCTCCTTCGGCCTGGTTTTCCTCCACCGCCCCAAACAAGGTAGAACTGCGAAGTCATAGGCAAATATATATTTGAGCGGACTGAATTGAGAAGGGCAGAATTCACCTAATGTTTTTAAATCTGTTTGTATGTTTTGTCGCCCTCCAATCTTTGGCCTTCACCTATTGGGGACAGGTGGAGCAGATTAAAGAGGGGTGGGCTAGAGAGCGGATCCAGTGACTAAGGGGGGGGGGGGTGCTTAGTCACTTGACTAAGCCCCTCCCAGCCCTTAGATCTGGACACTTCAATCCAATGGTTAAAAAGTGGGAAGAGCTATTTAATTAAGGACAGGGGTAGTTTGGGTATTATGGAAAATTACGAAGTATACAAACCGGATTTACAATCAGTACAAACATACGAACAGTGAAACTAGAGCGACAAAACATACAAACAGATTTACAAACATTACAAACGTATGAACTGTACAAACAATACAAACTAGGCTGACAAACAATACAAACCATACAAAAAGAAAAAACAACCGGGTTGACTTTCAAGGCTCCATCCCTATATAGAGGGGCTCCTTCCCAAAGTCAACCCGGGGGTTTTTTAGACATACAAACAGTACGAACATGGTGGACAAAAATGACAAACTAGACCGACAATCCATACGAACGGGAAAAAATACCCGGGTTGACTTTGGAGGCTCCATCCCTATATAGAGGGGCTCCTTCCCAAAGTCAACCCGAGTGTTTTTTAGACATAAAAAACATTACGAACATGGTGCACAAAAATGACAAAGTTTACAAACATGGTGCACAAAAATAACAAAGTTTACAAACATTAAAAAAAAACCGACAAACATTACAAAATAACAAAGCATACAAACATTACAAAATATATCAACAAACATCACAAAATTAGCACTGTCGCCGGGAAATTCTTCTTCGGCGACGATGTTCGCCGGAAAAAAAATTTCGACCAGAAAATCTCTCTCTCTCTGTTACGTGGGATATTTAATTCTCAAGGGGAAATTATCCCAATCTCTCTCTCTGTTACGTGGGACATTTAATTCTCAATGGGGGAATTATCCCAATTGCGACCGTCAAAATGTGGCGCCGGCGAATTACACGCGGCCGGCCGCCGGCGAGATCGGAAGTCGCTGGAAAAAAAAAACGCAGGCCGCACGGAGAAGGGAAAGGATCGGGAGCTGAATTTTTATTTATTTTAATTGGTAAATAAAAATTAAATAATTAAATTACTACATTGCCCTTCATTAAATTGGATTAATCAGGACCATTGGATTTTAATGAGGTGGAAGGGCTGAGATTCACTTAGTCACATGACTAAGGGACCCCCCCCCCCCCCCCCTAGTCACCTGATCTTAGCCCGGTGGGCTAAGGAGAAATTGGATGAGGACGCGTGGCTATATTCATTCTGAAGAAAAACAAGGGTTGCTTTCCTTATTCTTATCCGCCAGCTTTGGTCGGGCAACTCCTAGAGATGAGCGTAGTTGTGCTTATCCCACAATTAGAGGAGCTGGCTTCTTTTTTGCTTTTCCAGCTGCCGATGAGGTGTCACTCGTGGCACTTGGGCCTATTGGGCCGGGACTATTTTTGTGTTCATTGTTTTGCAGGTAGCTTGCACTTCAGGTTGGTGTTGCGGGCCCTAGCTTTTAGCCTGAGTAGCAGAATCCGATCCTAGGTGGAGGCACGAAGAGCTTTAAGGCGCAGTGGTGTAGTGGCGGAAACTTATATCCTTTTTTAAGATTTAGTGTTTTTGTCACTCTGTTCTTAGGAACTAACAGAGCTGCCCATTTTGTGGCATAAATGGCTCTTTCGTCGACAGATTGATTAGTATTGATTGCCGTTATTTTTACCTATTGTAAACATATCTATCTACTATTCATCAGACTATGATATAAAAAAAAACTAGAAGGGAGGAGTGGAGCTGCTGCGCTTTTCAATTTAGGGGGTGGGGATTTTTAGGGTTCGATTTGGTTGGGAGGGAATGCTGTTGAAGTTGGAAGTGGAAGCTTGGTTCGCCGGTGCGGACTTGTGAGTTGGGAAGGGATTTAAGTGTTGGGTCAACAGTTGGGTTGAGTTTTCTTGGTTGAGTTTTTTTTTAAAAAAAATTGGGTGGATCAATATTTCTATTAGTCATGTCAGTAAAATATAATCGGTGTTAATGGAGGTTGACGGAGATTAACTACCAATACCGAAATGAGGACTAATGAATTAATTATAGTGATACGAATGAAATAAAATATTTTTTGTGGCAACGTGAAATATTTTAGTAATTCTTACTTTTTATATTTTAGTAATTCTTACTTAAAAGGCAAGCTAATTGAGAATGGAAGTTCAAGGAGTGGCTTTAATTGATAGAAAGTAAATGGGTTTATTTGGAATATAAACCTCTAATAATTAGTAAAGAGTTTAGAAAAGAAAAGGGCATTCTTGCCCAACAGAACAGTTTCATCTTTCTCATGCACAATAATAGAGCCATATAGAAATTTGTGACCAGAATATAAACTAGATAGGGTATGTCCTTACACCATTCATTCCAAAAAAAAGAATAAATTCCAAATCGTCAACACAAACTGCTAAGTGCTAAGCAAAAGCATGGGTTACCAGTGACCAAAGGCCGCATGGATTACATAATCTAAAGATTTGCCAGTCTCGTCCTAAAGACTACCACATTACACTTGTTCACATATATGATCTCAGCTCTTTCTGAAGCACAATCGTAGTGTCGAATCTCCTCCAGGAACTTGAGACATCCTTCCCAACTCAATTTCTTTCCGGGCTCAATGACAATCCTTCTCAGCAGCGGTCCATTGGCCAACACGAACCTCAACAGGTCCAGCTCAACCTGAGAGCCCCCACTGAGCTTAATGTCGACTTCTTGAAGACGCTGACAACAACCATCTTTAGCTTCAAGATCTGTATCCGGTTCACAGTCTGGCAGCTTCAAATCCCTCCTAAAATACAAATCTCCTCCAGCTTCCATCTGCAAGTGTTTTAGCGGGTCAAGAAATTTAGCCTAGAGAAAAAAACAAAGCCTTAACATAGTTACAAAAGGAAGGATTCATAGAGTAGAGTAAGAACCTGAATTGTAAGTTTAAACAAGTTGGGCGAACTCTTGATGAGGCAAAGGAGCACCTCCTGCTTAAGCAAACTGCCATTCTTATGACCACACTTGCGGATGTCAATAACTTTTAAGCAGTGAAGTACTGTAGGAAGCCTGTATGGAATAGGATCTGCAGCAATTAACTATAAAAGAAAACGAAACACACAGATATGATCAGCAGAACAAATGCAGACATTTTGGGAAAATGGGAAGAGAATGGTTTTAAAAACAAACTTACGTCTAGGCACTCAAAGCTAACATACAACTGCTGAAGTGCAGGGAGAGAAGCAAATACAGAGACCATGTCTGTTGCAGGACTCTCAGACTCAATTTCCTGTGCTTGCAGTGAGACCACAGAAAGCAGTGGAGCATACTTGAAGCCAATAATACTATCTAAACAAAACGCCCTCAGGATACACACTTTGAGGCACGGTGGAGCTACAACTTCAAGATCATAAAGACCCTGAAAGAAGAAAACCCTCAAATCCTCAAGCAGCGGACACTTGAGAAGGAAACTGTGGAAGAAATCATCCGGTAAACCTACGTATTCTAACCGAAGGGAGGTCAGCCTGGTAAATCCCATGAACCAAGATGGTACCGTAAATTTACACCCCTCCATACTCAGCCTATCCAGTTGCACAGCATGAAAAAGGGAAGAGTCGATCTCACCTTCAAACATTAACGGGCCGCTGTATTTACAGTACAGAAGGGAAAGATCCGAGACCCCTTTTCCGGAAAGGTGAGAAATCAAGGGACTAATCTTGATAGTAGTTACTAATTGAATATTTGAAAGCACAAACTCTGTGATAGGCCCATCATGAACCTGTAGAGTTTCCTGAATGTTCGACATGAGCTTATTTGCACTAATTTCATCATCAGAATCACTGGAATCCGGTGAATCAAAAAACTCATCATCAAACACAAGGCGGGTGATACTTCTCCAATGGTGCCTCCATTCTCTTGACAATACACTTGTTCTCCCCGCTTCTTTTATGGGCAAGGGCGTGAGAATTAGTTGTATCAGATGGGCAGGAAGCTTACTAATTCTATCAACCTTCGAGCTGCGGAGCTTCTTCTTCTTTGCCATATGAATGACTGCACAGAAATCAAGGAACAAGAGACCGAATCCTACCAGTGTCAGGTATAGGAAACCATAAACCCTACCGCACATAAACCCTAACGCATAAGGACAGCCCATTTCAATATGTAGAAATTCAAGAAGAAAATTAGTGCAGGGGACAAAAAAGCTCTAAACTAGTGAAGGGTTTATGAATTACATTGAGCCGTTGTCTGGTCGAAACCATTAAAAGTCCACAATTTTCAATTGCGCGCATGGAAAGGGCTAGTCGCCTAGTCCCCATCCCCCGTGGGAGAAGCAGGGGAAAATGAGGAGGGTTGCAAGTTTTAGAGGAAACGTGGTCATGCCAATAAATATACGTTCCAAAAACAATTGCTCACTGTCACTTACTTGGTTTTCAGATATCTGGCCGTCCGTCGTAACTTCGTCGCCGTCAGCCTGGGTGACCTAAGAGAGGGAGCGAGTAGAGAGTAGAGACAGAAGTTGAGATTGGCGGATATGTGGCAAGAAACGGACAAGGTCAAAAAGGGAAAGAAAGCGGGAAGAAAAGGGTATGTCAATCGGGGTATGTCAATCGGAACTAATCATGAATTATTTTAAAATGGATATAATTTTATACTAACAAGATTCAGGTCAATGCAATTTGATATGTGCTTTTCATTTTCAACTCAATTTTTTTTTTTTTTTCAATTCGCCTCAAATCACTTTCATCTACTTAAATCAACAAAATTAACTTGTACTTGTATATGTAATTAAATATTATATTTAAATTTAGAAAATAAATTAAAAGAGAAAAGAAAATAATATAAAGTAAAATAAATTTTCTTAGGTCTTTTTTACTTGCAAGTTGCATATACGATTGCATTTGTTACAAACTTGTAAATAGGGTTAATTACAAGGATGGTCACTGGGTTTACTAAAACCGTTCATATTTGGTCACTGAAAAATATTTAATTCCATTCATGGTCACTAAGATTAGTTCGATAGTTCAAGATTGGTCACTCTCCGTTAGTCTCCATTAGTTTTTGCTGATGTGGCAGTCAACTATTATAGTTGACCGTTAAATGAGTGACGTGGCCAATAAAAAAATAAAAATATTTAAATATTTACAATTTCCACCTCATTTTACAATTATTAAACAATAAAAATAAAAATAAAACTTATTGACTGCTCGATGACTGCTCCGACAACGACGGCAGGACTTCGGGTAGCTGCTCGATGACTGCCTCGAACTTCACCTTGGACCTCCGCAGACTCCTCGGCACCCACTCTACGTACAAAATCCATTGATCGGGATATGTCTTCAGACAGTCCGCTACATGACTCCCATTCCAAACATGAGGTCATATTCGAAGAACTGCCGACAGAGTCCGAGAATCAAATTCTTGATTACACAGAGGGTGCTTCCCAGGAGAAACAGTTTTTTCCTTTCATCACACCTCCACATAATCATATGCAAGTCCACCTGCAAGACAGTATAGTTCTCCACCATCCACCTCAAAACCCAAAAGTAAGCACGATTTAGATCTACATGATATCTTGGTTTCAGCTCAAGCAGCTGCAGAGACCGCTGAGCGAGCAGCAGCAGCAGCCCGCTCAGCTGCAACAATCGCACAGGCAAAGATCAAGGAGCTAGCCAAGCTCAACAGCGACAAGTCACTTGATCTTGAATCTGACAATCCTTTCAACACTGAGCTTCAGGATCAGTCTGCTGCTTTGGGGAACCTAAATCTCGATCATCAACGCTCTTCCGGCAATCTCAATGGTGCCGTGTTCGACTCTCCAAGGTATCACAGAGAGTCGCCCGGTCCTGAGCTGTATCGGATTACGTCTATCGACGAAGACCCTTACTTCTCTTACCCTAACTTGTTTGGGTCTCACAGCTCGAACCTGTTGGATGATGAACTGAATCCGAATCCGGTCTGGAAAAGGATTGCGTGTCAGTGTTTAAAGGTTAAGAGTCCACTTAGTTGAAGTGATGTCGTTTGGTGTTTTACAGTTTCAGTCCTTATAGTTTGTGTCGTGGTTAGTAGAGTCAGTTGGCTGAACTAGCCGTTGCAATTGATAGAATTTGCAGAGTCAGAGTGTTAGTTGCAGAAGCTAATTCTCAGGGATTGAGTTTGTTGTCAAAGCCGAGTTTGATGGCTTTAGTTAGGAGTCCTTTGTATAAATTTCAGTCTCTATCAATGAATAAACTCGTCAGTTTGCAATACATCTGCTACAACATAGTGGTATCAGAGCTGAGAGCGAGCTGTAACCAAGAGTGTTTTTGAGTGATCTGTGAGTAAACTGAGATTGATTGAGTGATTCTCTGGGTTGGGAAACACGAGGGAACAAGTGAGGCAAGTTAATTCCTGGTGAGTGATCAATATGAGTGAGAGCAGTTTTGCCCAGGTCTGTATTCCCAAGTTCGATGGGGATTTCGACCACTGGAGCTTACTGATGGAGAATTTACTGAGATCCAAGGAATATTGGACAGTGGTTCAGGAAGGAATAAGGGAGCCTGCACAAAATGAGGTGCTGACTGAAGCTCAGCAAAGGATTCTGGATGACAGGAGATTGAAAGATCTCAAAGCGAAGAATTATCTCTTCAGCTCCATTGACAAGAGTATTCTGAAAACAATCACACAGAAGTCAACTGCCAAGGAGCTCTGGGATTCGATGAAAACAAGGTACCAGGGTAGCGATCGAGTGAAGAAATCACAACTTCAAAGTCTCAGGAGAAGCTTTGAACTGCTGCAGATGAAGGAAGGGGAATCAGTTGCAGAATATTTTGGAAGAGTGATGACAGTGGCCAATTCAATGCGAAATTGCGGAGAGGAGATGCCAGACGTGAAGATAGTGGAAAAGGTACTAAGGACTCTGACTCCAAAATTCAACTACATAGTGTGCTCTATCGAGGAATCAAAGGACATAGATGAACTGAGTGTTGAGGCTTTGCAAAGCTCATTGTTGGTTCATGAGCAAAAATTTGTCACTCAATCCTCAGAAGAGGAACATGCTTTGAAAGTGACCTATGATTATGGAGGAAGAGGTGGAAGGGGTCCAGGGAGAGGTGCATATCAGGGTAGAGGCAGGGGTCGAGGGAGAAGCTGGAATCGAGACTTGGTTGAATGCTTCAAGTGCCACAAATTAGGCCACTTCAAGGCAGAATGCCCTGAGTGGTACAGTAACCAGCAGGCATACTATTCAAGTCATGATTCACATCCCAATCGTTCACAATCATCCTATCCTGATATGACTGATGATGTTCTCCTAATGGCCTTTGTTGAGAAGAAAGAGGAATGTGAGGAAGAAAAGTTGCAGGCTTCAATGGCTCTACTGGACACACAGTCTGGTGAGAAGAGAGACACCTGGTGGTTTCTGGATAGTGGCTGCAGCAACCACATGAGTGGAGAAAAACAGTGGTTTACCTCCATGGAAGAGAATGGTGATTGCAATGTGAAGCTGGGCAATGGGACAAAGATGGCTGTTGCAGGCAAAGGAACAATCAAGCTGGTGGTAGAAGGGGTGTCTCTATCTATCAGGGATGTGTTCTATGTTCCAGGACTTACAACAAACCTACTAAGTGTAGGGCAACTCCAAGAAAGACAACTCAGTTTCGTCATCAAGGAGGGAGTCTGCAAGATCTATCATGACAAGAAGGGTCTTCTGTTGCAAACAACTATGAAAACCAACAGAATGTTTGTCCTGCACTCTCAAAAGCAGACTAACATTACTACTGGGGATTATAGTTGTATGCATCAAACAGAAACCAGCAACAGCACATTGACTCTCTGGCACAGGAGGTTTGGCCATCTCAGTGGTCAGAGTCTAATACAGTTGCAGAAGAAAGAAGCTGTGCAGGATCTTCCTAAATTGCAAGGAGAATTGGGAATCTGCTCCACCTGTCAGATTGGCAAACAGCATCGAGCCACTTTTCCTAAGCAAAGCAAATGGAGAGCAACCAAGAAACTCCAGTTGATCCATGCTGATCTATGTGGTCCAATCACCCCAGTCTCAAACGGAGGGAAAAGGTATATCTTGACTATCACTGATGACTTCAGTAGAAAGTTATGGGTGTATTTCTTGGAAGCAAAGTCAGACACATTGAGCTGCTTCAAGAAATATAAGGCTCAGGTGGAAAAAGAAGCAGGAGAATCGATTGTGTGTCTAAGAACTGACAGGGGAGGAGAATTTCTTTTAAAAGAATTCAAGGAGCTGTGTGAAACTGATGGTATAAGGAGGCAGCTGACTGCTGCACTCACTCCCCAGCAGAATGGGGTTGCTGAAAGAAGAAATAGGACCATAATGAACATGGTCAGGTGTGCTCTAGCTGATGCAAGGGTTCCTGCAGCATTTTGGCCAGAAGCTGTGGCATGGACCAGTCATGTGTTGAACAGGAGTCCAACAACAGCCAACTCAGGAAGAACTCCTCATGAACTCTGGACAGGTACACCTCCTTCTGTTGGTCACTTCAGGGTGTTTGGATGTGTAGCCTACGTGCATGTGAATGATCATTTGAGAAGGAAACTAGATGACAAGAGTATACAGTGCAATTTCTTAGGCTTATCTACTGAATCTAAAGCCTATAAGTTGTACAATCCTGCCACCAAAAAGATAGTGATCAGCAGGGATGTGGTTTTTGATGAAACCAAGGGCTGGGAGACAGGAAAACAACCAGATATGACTCCATTGGTTTGGGATGGCAGTGATGAGCCCTGGTATGCATCTGATGATGAAGAAGAACATGGTGTTGCAGATGCTCCAGATGCACCAGAACCAGTCACCCCTATTGTTCCTCCAGGCCCTGCTGCATCTCAGGATTATGGGGAGGATGATGAGAATGATAATCCTGATGTGCTTGGCCTTCCCCTTGGAAGCCTTGGGAAAAGAAGCAGGCATCCACCTGGTCACCTGGCAATTTATGACTGTACCTTCTTTGCAGGTCTAGATTGCTTAGTGACCATAAGTGATGACCCTGCTACGTTTGAGGAAGCTGTGCAAGATGAGAAGTGGAGAAATGCCATGAAACAGGAGATGACAAGCATTGAGAAGAATGACACATGGGTCCTGGTGGAACTACCTGCAGGAGTGACTCCCATTGGGGTCAAATGGATCTTCAAAACAAAACTGAAGGAAGATGGGTCTCTGGACAAGTTCAAAGCACGGCTAGTGGCCAAAGGATATGCACAGAGACATGGTATAGACTTTACTGAAGTCTTTGCACCTGTGGCCAGGTGGGACACCATCAGAACCCTCCTTGCTCTAGCTGCACATCATGGTTTTCCAGTATTCCAGCTCGATGTAAAAAGTGCCTTTTTACATGGTGAATTGACTGAAGAGGTCTACATTGAACAGCCACTGGGTTTTAAGGTAAAGGGAGAAGAGCAGAAGGTTTACAAGCTTAAGAAGGCACTGTATGGTTTAAAACAGGCCCCAAGAGCCTGGTACAGCAGAATAGAAGCTTATTTCCTGAAGAATGGCTTTGAAAGAAGTGACTATGAACACACATTGTTCATAAAGAGATCTGGTAATGATATTCTGCTAGTAAGCCTCTATGTTGATGATCTCATG